TATTATTATAATTATATCAATCATCTGCCGCCCTTTTCTCTCCTTTTTTATTTGTACATTGTTACTCTCTAGTCTCTAGTATTTAGTAACACATCTAATCTTTGGCTCTTATTACCTATTCTGTGTTGCAAGTGCAGCAAAACACTTATAATTTTTTTTAAAGAGTGTAGAACAGATTTCAAGTCAGCAACACAAGCGTCTGTCGTGTAGCGGTTAGGCACGTGGCTGTCACGCATAGGACACACAGAACGACACAAACACACTCACACACACACGTACGCACTTACTACGCACACTCACGCACACATGCACGTGCACACACGCGCGCGCGCACACACACACCCACCCTCGCACACACACACGCACGCACGCTCACGCACACCCATACATTGTACAGTCTCTGAGGCCGGTTCCTGAGACAAAGTGTCCCTGAGTGGCTCTGGTGAAATGGTATGGGTTTAACGCCCCTATCAACACTATGTTAGGTTATTTAAGGGGCGGGACCTCCTAGTTTAACGTCCGTCTCCGATAGAAACGAGCCAAGTGGGAAATTCGCGTAAAGTGCCTTTCCCAAGGACATAATGTCGGACACGATGACGAGTCCGGTAGCCTAACCATTAGGCCACTGAGTTGACTGAGTGGCTCTGCTGTAGGTCTGACACCGACGCCACTGAGTGGCTCTGCTGTAGGTCTGACACCGACGCCACTGAGTTGACTGAGTGGCTCTGCTGTAGGTCTGACACCGACGCCACTGAGTGGCTCTGCTGTAGGTCTGACACCGACGCCACTGAGTGACTCTGCTGTAACTGTAGGTCTGACACCGACGCCACTGAGTGGCTCTGAAGTCTGACACCGACGCCACTGAGTGGCTCTGCTGTAACTGTAGGTGCGACACCGACGCCACTGAGTGGCTCTGAAGTCTGACACCGACGCCACTGGGTGGCTCTGCTGTAGGTCTGACACCGACGCCACTGAGTGGCTCTGCTGTAGGTCTGACACCGACGCCACTGAGTGGCTCTGCTGTAACTGTAGGTCTGACACCGACGCCACTGAGTGGCTCTGCTGTAACTGTAGGTCCGACACCGACGCCACTGAATGGCTCTGAAGTCTGACACCGACGCCACTGAGTGGCTCTGCTGTAGGTCTGACACCGACGCCACTGAGTGGCTCTGCTGTAACTGTAGGTCTGACACCGACGCCACTGAGTGGCTCTGCTGTAACTGTAGGTCCGACATCGACGCCACTGAGTGGCTCTGCTGTAGGTCTGACACCGACGCCACTGAGTGGCTCTGCTGTAGGTCTGACACCGACGCCACTGAGTGGCTCTGCTGTAGGTCTGACCTGTAGCTCACCGAGTGAGCACTGTGCGTTGGTTTCTATGTCGGACGGAGTCAGCACAGCCGCACTAGGACTTAGGCCGGTCCCAGGGTGGCTCTGTAGGTCTGACCTGTAACTGTCCTGGCGCACGCCGTGTGCGTGTCAGCACAGCCGCACTAGGGCCTAGGCTTGAAGCACACAGGCCTACGAATGTACACAGTCGAAACTAGGTCAACCTCTCGATTCGAAATTTTAATGTAGGATGAAGTGCATTTCTTGGGATTTTGTGGTCAAGTGTTGATGCCAGCATCAATATATCTAATAGTAAAGCATCTAATAATACTTACTTCTGGCTGATTTGGATGATCTGTGAAGAATTTCAGTCGAAAATAAACACGAAGCAAGGCTGCGTGCGACACGTCATGTCCGACGTGTTTTACAACACTGTTGAATAGCGCGTCTGACGCGTCGCGCAGCTCAGCGGACACGAGATAGACCATACAGCGACGCAGCTCAGGCACGCGATACACGTTGCGAGCTAGGCGAGCTACAGGTCAGACCTTAACCGGCCTTACAAAATATTTTTCAAGAAACAGCTTCCAATAAATAAATAAACTAAAAAAGTATGGGTGCTCTGGTGTGGATTGCTCCTTCTTTTCTTTCAATGATCTTATATTTACTGCCATATAATATCTCCTACTTTTTATTGTTTAAATTTGTAGCTTTGCACCTAACTCTCTTGAAAGACCTCCAATCTACGGCACTCATATGGCCTATTTGTGTTGTAAGTATTTTAAAAACTTTTACGCACACTTAACTAAACGAAAAGGCTTGAAAATTCTCCAGTTTGCCCTTGGACAAAATTGTCAATAATAAATATATCAGTAAAAGTACCGCTATTTCTCAAACGTTAATGGTTTTGCGGAGACACCTTATTTCGCATGCATTGATTCTTTTTTTTCTAAAATGTGTCTTGTTTAGAGACAGTGTTTGTCACTGGTATGTTAATATGAAGATGCTGTTGATGAGCTGGGATTTCACTTCGGTTGGGATATTCTTGTGACTGAGCAATGGTGCTAGCTGGTAGGTCACTGCATTTGCCTTCATAAGTTCTTGTTTCTATTTCTATGAAGACACATGCAGTGACCGCCTATACCAGCTAGCACCCATGCTCAGTCACAAGAACACCCCAAGCGTCTTCACAATAATTAAATAATCACTGCTTCCCTTCCTTAGTTTGAGAACATCGTCGCCGTCAAATTCCCCCATAGACTCGTAAACGTAGGCCTACAAATGACGTTAAATGTAGAGATCCATGTCAATGTAATTTAAATTTGAGTAGTATGCGCAACAATCGAAACTGCAGGCCTATCATTGCCACATAAATACCCTGTTTATGATTATGTAAGATAACTAGTAGACTGGGAAAGAGCGGGTGGTTGGCGGGTGCTCTGGTGTGGTTTGCTTCTTCTTTCCTATCATACATCTATCATCCTTATCTCTCCTCCTTCTTTTTTGTGTTTGTTACTCTCTTGTAACACCTCTAATCTTCGGCACTTATATGACCTTATTGTGTTGCAAGTGCCGTAAAACTCTTACTATAACTAACTAACTAACTGGCAAAGTCTACCTCATAAAGGTGAGGGAGACTAACTCCTTATAATCTCATGGCTGTTGTGAGTGCTTGATCCCCCCCCCCCCTTTTCACTTCGTCCCGGCTCATCATAATCAGGTAGGCTAATGACATGATGATGACACCGTTTCCAGGCGAACAAAACATTAAAATAAATGAGTAGTATAAATATTTTTTTACTTCTTTATTTGCCTTCTGTTTGCGTATTCACATAACTTGTCATTTGTCATTTTCTCCACTGCAAGGTTTAAAAATAATAAATGTGTTGCCCAAAGTGGGAATAAACAAAGTATAATTATCTAATGAAATATTTTCTCGATTAATTTGGTGCTTGAGCAAAACATTAATATAATTTCAGGATTTGTTTTCATTCACAACTCGGTCATGCTGCCTCGATTAAGAAATTTTGTTAATATCATGTTCCTATTGTGGAGAAGTATTTTGTGTGTGACCTCATTTCTATCTGGTTCTTTGTCTCATTACTAGGCCAATGATTACCCTGTCAACCAAGGCAGTCTTCGCTTCTGATGGACATTCATGGTCTTTTTCTTCTTTGTGTTCCCATGGCAGATGTCAGGGGTTCTTGAACCTGCTGTGCAACGGATAAAATAGCGTTTCATACCTTGATAGTTTTTTTCTTTTTTTTTTTCTTCTCTAAATAAATAGGCCTACGAGTAGAGTTTAGCTTAGGGAGGGGAGATAACCTATTTAGTTTGTACATCAAATAGATATAAAAAGTAGCCTCCCGTGCAAAGAACGATAAATCAGTATTTCCGGAAAATTACTGACGTCATTTTCATGCGCAATGAAACTAGGGGCGTTGAACATCCGCCATATTTGTTTTCGCTTCGGAAAAATTCACTCCAAGAAGTATTGTGTTGTGTAGAAAATCAAGCCCATCTGTTGTTGTTTTGTACTTACGAGCCTAGAATATTAAATAGAGACACGACAGAGTGTGATTTTGTCTTTATTTTCGCCCCAGGTTTCTGAAAACCGGGGCAAGAAATAGTTTGTTTACACCGATTCAAAAGCGGAAGCGAACATTTTCCATCAAAATGGGTACTAAAGATGACGAGTACGACTATTTGTTCAAAGGTAAGTGTTTGGTGTTTTAAGCCGTGTTTTTGTCTTTGCATAGTTTATATATTTGTTCTTTTGAAGCCATAGCGCATTACGAGTGGTTATGCCGCTCGCTGGTCAGTATACTTCATTTTTAGCGTATCAGTACACGGACCCCACAGGTAGGGGGGTACATTTGAGGATGAGGGGCCAGTGACAGAGTGTCCTCCGAGTCTCGTATCCAATGTAGACTAGATCGAGTCTAGATGGGCCGAGAGTAAGAAATAGCATGTTCTTTCAGCTCTCAGTTCAGCGTCTTGGTAACGGGACAATTAGGCTTTCAAGAAATTTAGGGTTCTCAGGCCTCGGTTAACGCCCAGGTTTCATTTCAATTTCCAGTGGACAAACCCTTGCCCCTCCCCTAGGCCCTAGCCTAGGTAGGTTCCTCCCTTTATTTTTGCTTGTCTTGCTGATGGTTAATTTTTCATGCAGGCTTTGCTTTTATCAGAAGGCCTAATTATCCATAAAGTTAAGCTAGAGTTTCACTTTGTAGACAACATTACTAACATACCCATACATTCATTGACTCACTGACCTAGACTCGGACTGAGCCCAGACAAGTCAGTTGTCCAGTTGAGGTGTAACTTACTTGATGAGCTGTTCAACTGTCAACCTGTTGTTGGTTGGGCAGATTGCAAATTGGTTGTTTGTGGAATTTATTGTAAAATAGGCTAAATATTGGGATTGTTACTTTGAAAAAGAGTGCTTCTTGTTTGTTTCATGAAGGCATTCATCATTCATTACCCTGTTGTGTTCAGTTGTTGGCCTAGATCTAGATCTGATCTAGAATCTAGATTCTAGAGTCTAGTCTAAATTGATCTCTATAAACTATATAGAGAGACTATAGAAAGCGATTTGATTCATTTTCTAAAATAGTAAATTACTTGGTTGTCGAAACTGTATTGTCTTTAAAGATCTTTTTCGGTCCTATCGGAGACGGACGTTAAATTAGGTCTAGGAGGTCCTGCCTCTTAAATAACCTAATGCCCCAATGGCCACCAGAATAGCGCAGGCGAGTCTTTTGGCTATTCTCACCCGTTGGGCGCTCACCGTTATAGTATAGCCTAGGCCAACCAGTTAAGCGTTCACCCTGAACCACAGAATTCTACACTGAGATAACAGAATTGTAGAATTCTGTGCCGTAAACAAATGTTCTATTACTACTGTTAGTGTTAGCCTAAAAAAAGTAGTAAAAGCGTGCAATTTTGTCTGTGGGCAGTGGAGAGAGAGAAAAAGAGAGAGAGGAGTAGCGCGAGAACTTCCGGGCAAAACAAAATGGCGACCCGCGTAGTTCGGCTTGATTCGGAAAGTTAAATAGCCGTAGCATCTTTGTAGACGACCAAATTAATTTACTTTTGTGTTTTAACATCATTTTAAAACTTTGTTTTGGTCAATTTGATCGTCCACACCGATAGACAGTATTGTATTCAGAAAGAGACACAGAGAGAGAGAGGGGAGGAGTAGATCTTGCGAGAACTTCCGGGCAAAACAAAATGGCGACCCGCGTAGTTCGGCTCGATTCGAAAAGTGAAATAGCCTTAGCATCTTTGAAGACGATCAAATTAGCTTATTTTTGTGCTATAACGTAATTTTTTCTTGGCTTTTATCAATTTGATCATCCACACCGATAGACCGTATTCCGAAATGAGGAAAAACAGGTCTTGTTTCACACCGAGTAAGAATAGCCTACGCTGGCAAGTCTCACCCGGGGTGAGAGGTACGTATTTTTATTCTCACCCCGGGTGAGGATAGCCACTTCCTAACCTAATAGTGTTGATAGGGGCGTTAAACTCATACAATTTCAATTTTATAGGATCTTTTCTCTTCTGTACCTGTTCTTGTAAATTTTCTGCCTTCCCCGGACAGGAAAAATGGACAATGAAATACCTAGAACTAGGCTTTTAAACATTCTTCACGATAAATTGATTAGTATGTCTAGGCCAACCAAGTAAGCAGGAATCTGAAAGATTAATTTGAAATACACAGCTAGAACTTCTAAGAGAGGGTCTCAGAGATGAACCAAGTTTCAATGGTAGTTTTGAGTTCTTGACACTAAAATGATTCCTGGTTTTAAATTACAAGGTAAACTGTTGGAAGTTATTCTGGATTTAGACTTCAATGCTGGCAAAGTGCCTCAAAGTTTAAAGTTGTTAGTCTGGAGAGCAACTTGTGGGCATTGGTTAACTCTTGATCCCCAGTCTCCAGGGAGGGTGAACCCACTGTGCCGGGGTCCTTTTTTGGGTCTAAATCTAAAAATGACTATGTAACGTTACTAAATTGGTCATTAAATCAAAACATGATAACCAATTTTGAAAGTTCTTCATCTAATGAATGAAATCCTGATAAAAGAGTTTTTGGAAATTGCTGAAGAGTAATTTGGCTCACTGGCACAGCGGTTCCGACCGCGAGCTGCTGGGAGTGGCTTGCTGGAGATAAAATAAAGAGTTAATAAATATTCTATTACACTACAGAAATGTCTTTAAAAGTATAATTTTCTTTATTGAAGATTACAGCAAAGATAACAATCGATTTGCTTAAGAAGAAGATGGTGGCTCCAGAAGCAAATTTGGACAAAAGTTCTGAAAGTGTGATGTTTCCTAGAGTTTAATGGTGCAGTCAGTCTGCAGGATGATACGTATACAGAGGTAATTGTGTACTTTCTCTCCCAATCGTAGAAACGTGACACAGCTTTTGAGGGTCAAACCGTCATATTTTGGCTTCAGAACACAGACATTGCTATGAGAACTGTTGCAAATCAGTTATATTTTCCGGAAATTTCAAACCTAACTTTAAAACACCAAAATATGAGAAAGTACAGAGAGGCATGCCCCCCCTGAAACCCCCAATTTCTTGTACTCTTACCCAGGGGGGACGACGCTTCTCCCAAACCTCCCTCATTTTTCAATGCTTGAAATATCAGTTGACGTATTTAGGGTACAAGTACTATTCTATCACTTTTTTGGCACTGCTGAGCTGAGTCCAGTTACACAGGGCTTGATGGTCGTTTCATCTGTCATTACTTTTAGATAGAGTTCTAGGATTGAATTGTCCTTTGAAGCATCTGCTAAAGATGATTATATATTGATTATGATTGTAATCGTCTTTAATCACTATCAGCAATAGAATTACAAGAGGGTGGGGTATGCTATGATCACTTCATGTTTTTTGTCTAATTGCCTCTGACAAGATTTTGCCAAGTGTTGTTAATTGGGATTTTAAGCATGGCTGTAATTTTGTCAACAGTGTTAAGTGTGAGAACCTTCAACTTTTTGTTGTTTCACATAAAACTAAAAAATAGATGATTAAAAGCACTTGTCATCCTCTGAAGGATTCAACTTTAACAGTGTGAACGTTACATTGAAGAATATTGTGGGTGGTGTAGTTCGCTCTTTCTTTCCTCAAACTCAAACGTCTATCATTCTATCTCTCCTACTCCTTTTTTGTGTGTATACGCAATGTAACTCCCTAGTAAACCTCTAATGTTCAGCACTAATGTGACCTAATTGTGTTGCTAGTACTCACTAAAAAAACAAAAAACAAAAATGGAATTAATATTAAATGTGATGGTCTGTCAGAAGAAGAGATAAAAGCATTTTTGTGCAAGTGGCCTCCCCTACTCAGACATGTATAGTATGCATATTGTGAGTTTTCAAGGATGTGTCTACCCACTTAAAAGCACTTTACACTAACTTTACTATAGTGTGCTTCCTGGGAAGCTGTGGATGTTTTTTGAGTATTCTAGGGTCTGCTGGGGTAATGATAACTAGTTGTAAAGTGCATGGAGAGCATGCTGTAGAGTGGAAGTGCTCTCTGTGCGATTACATTTTTGAGCCCAGACCTTTGCAGAGGATATTGTCTGTTTCCACCCTTCAAGTAGGTGCACATTTTCCTTCAAGTAGGTGCACAATTTAATGTCAAATAATATGCTGAAAGGGGCGTCACACCCATATCGAATCTGCGGAAAAGTAAGAGCCAGCGCGTGTGTGTATAGAATTGGTAAAATAGTCCAAAGTACAGTACAGGTGCCGGCATGATTTAGTGTACGGTGTGTGTGTGTGTTGTGTGCTGTTCTCCAAGTCTGTGCTCCACTTTGTGGGTGGGTGGTTGGCGGGTGCTGGGGTCAACGGTGTAGTTAGTTTGCTCCTTCTTTTCTATCAAATATCTGTAGTCCTTTTTTTTTTTCGTGTTTGTTACAGAGCTCTTTTGTAACCCCTCTTATAATTAATCTTCAAATACCAATAGTGTTGCTAGTGCCATAAAACTCTTTTTAAAATAAAAACCACTTTGCGGTATGCAGTGTCTTTGCACCAATGTGTGTTCTTTGAATTTTCTTCCTTTTACAACTAAGCTGTCATGTTTTTTTTTCTTTCGTGCTCTCCTTTTGTGTGTGGATGGTCGGAGGGTGCACGGGAAGGTCCTACTTCTTTACTCCCCCCTCTGTTTCTGTCTGTCTGTCTTACTTTTTCCCAGCACTAAATGACCATTATTGTTTCGATGTGCTTCTCTTTACTCAAACAAAAAACAAATACTTTTGTATCGTATACTATACCTGCAACACGTGTATGAGTTTGTGTGTGGGGGTTTGTTTTTTTATTTGTGTCTGTTTGTGTGTGTTCACATGACTTTTATGCATAAAGGATTTATTCTATGCTTGCTGCGTGTGTGTTTTGTTATGTGCTCTGTGTCAGTGTGTATACTTGCAGTGTATAAAAGTGTGCGCGTGCCTGCGCATGTTCACAAGTCTGAGAAAAAATTTCCTCCTCTGACCGTCTCATGTGTGCAGTCACCATTGACAGCTTGTACCTGGCCAACTTGGCATGACACAGCGATGAGTCACCGTCTTAACAGTCAGCTCTGTGCTGGCCTACAGTCACTGGTCTGTCTCCCTCGCATTCCTGTAACAGCTTCAACATTGTTTTGCTTCTTTGGAAGTTTTTCTATCTTGTTACACTAAAATATATTTAGTTTGTGTTTGGGGTGGGGGGTTGGCAAATGTTTGCTTCCTTAGAAGTTTTTCTGTCTCATTCTTAGTCTAGTTTGTGTTGGGGTGGGGGGTTGGCAGGTGTTCTAGTGTGCCTTGTTTCTCCTGCTTTGTATACACAGTAGTACAGTAGTGTAGCGATTTTGCCACAGTCCCAACATTTTAATTTGTTCCTGGTGGGTGTTTGGGAGTGGATGGCGGGTGCTCCGATGTGGTTTGCTCCTTTTTTCTTATAAAACAAAATAAACGTCTCCTTCTTTTTTTCGTTGTATGGTTACTATCTTCTAGTACACCTCTAGTATTTGACACCTGTTTATAAATGACCTTTTATTGTGTTGCAAGTGCCGTAAAACTTTCTGAAACGATGGGGTCACTGTCATCATGTCTTACTTTTTTTCTTTTCTTGTGCTTCTATTTTTGTCTCACTGATTTGAGTTACATAAACTCCTTCTTTCCTGTATCAAACTTCCTATCTTCCTTAGAAATATGAATCTTTCCTTTTCTTTGTGAGTTACTGTCTAGTAAAAAGAAAAATGAAGATTGAGGATGGAACTTGAAAAGCTTTTCCATCATTTTTAAAATAAGAGAAAGAGAAACAGGATGGCCTATCACCCTTATTCTATCTCTCCTTTTTTTCTTTCTTTGTCAACTTCTTCTTTCCTGTATCAAACTTCCTATCTTCCTTGTAATATAATACATCTGTTCATCTTGTTTTCCTTGTATGTTACTCTCTAGTAAAACTAAAGAAGTTTTTTTTTTTGGGGGGGGTGAAAAGTGGAGATTTGCTGGATGAGAAATTGGAACAGCTTTTCCATCATGTTTGAGGTAAGAGAGAAAGAGAGACAGGGTGGCCTAGCCTGCTGGTTGTCTATAATTAGCCTCACAGTCAGTCCAGTACACTCCAGTGCTTGTCTCCAAAGGCGTGATGTCAAGCTGATAACCTGATCCATTGTTTTGTTTACTCAACAAAAATGAGGGTCTAAGACGCAGGGTGGAGTTTTTCTGGGAAGACGTCTGTGGGTGGGTCCTACCTCTGAACTGTCACTCGCTGGGTGGTTGACGGGTGCTCTGGTGTGGTTTGCTCTTTCTTTCTTTAATCTTTCTTTCTATCAAACATCTGTTGGTGGGTGGTTGGCGGGTGGTCTGGTGTGGTTTGCTCTTTCTTTCTTCCTATCAAACTTCAAACATCTGTTGGTGGGTGGTTGGCGGGTGGTCTGGTCTGGTTTGCTCTTTCTTTCGTATCGATCATCTATCGTCTGTATAAATCTCCCCTTCTTCTTTTTTATGTTTGTTACTCTCTTGTAACACCTCTAATCTTCTGGCGCTCATATATGACCTTGTGCAGTTGAGAGCGCCGAAAAACCTCTACTAAAACTAAACCAGGAAACATCCGTTGACCTTATCTCTCCTTTTTAAAATCTTTGTTTACTCCTCTTGTAACAACACCTCAAATCTTCGGCACTTGTATGACCTGATTGTTTTGCAATTGCTGTAAAACACTTAGTAAAATGGTCCAATATTTGTTTTGTTTTGCTTTTTTCTGTTCAAGCGCTGGATCTGTCTAGTAGAGTGCAGTAACACAAATGATAACACAAACTTCAGGGCGTCAGAGAATTCTTTTTTGTTCAGAAGATTTTGTGTCAAGGAAAGTTACAATGCATCAAATAAAACGGGGGAAAAAATGAGTCCGATTCTTTTGTGGTAACAGGAATTTTGGGTTAAATACAGTGTGCAGTGTGCAGTGTGCAGTGTAGGTGGTTGGCAATTGTTTGGTTTGGTTTGCTCCATTCGTATCAAATGTCTGCTATCATCTTTCCTCCTTCTTATGTTTGTATGTTACACTCTATCAACAGTGGGTGGTTGACGGGTGCTCTGGTGTGGTTTGCTTCTTCTTTCCTATCAAACACCTATCGTCCTTATCTCCCCTCTTTCTTTTTTATGTTTGTTACTCTCTTGTAACACCTCTAATCTTCTGGCGCTCATATGACCTTATGCAGTTGAGAGCGCTGTAAAACCTCTACTAACCCCCCCCCCCCCCCCCCAAAAAAAAAAAAAAAACCAAACAAACCCACAACTCTATCAACACATCAAATCTACGGTACTTTTATGACCTGATTATGTTGCAAATGCTGTAAAACTCTTTCTAAACCTAAGTCTATCGTAAATCTTATCACAAGTGTCACTGTATTTTTTATTGACTTAAATAAGTTCCCAATATCATTCTGGGTAGTGTGTGCCCCCCCTCCCCGCCAATGCCTCAATGTTCCAGGTCATTAATTACTCAGCGACCCATTTTGGATATGTGACTCATTTGTGACTTGTTGGAAGTTCCTGCTATCAAGGTAGGGGACATGATGTCAGGGACTATATGTGTGTGTGTGTGTGGATCCTGTATTGATTTCTCATTTCTGTATGTGAGGCTTAGCGTAGTATATAAAGGAAGGCGTTCTTCATTACTGTAGTCAGAGCTGTGTGTTGATTTAGAGTCAAGAAGTTTTGCCTTTCAGCTCTTGCACATTTGGAATATTTATAAAGTTGCATTTTGAAGCTTTTGTTTAAGTTTTTATTTTGCCTGAACGTGGCTAGGGTATGATTTCTCATAACTTGGTTATGTCATGAGAATGAGACAGAAGTTATTTGTGCTGTAAAGTGCTGTAATTTGAGTGTGTAGTAACGTGCTTTATTCCTTTGTTAGTTTATGTGAAAGAGATATTGACAGGGTTGGATAATATAGGCAAAGAAAACTATGTCTGCTTCTATGACAATACCGCAGTGCATGTTTGTTCTGCCCAACGAGGAGGAGATGGATTATCTGGTGAAAGGTGTGGTTTTTTCCTCTATGTTTTGTCTGGTGGGGGGTTGGCGGGTGTGCTTTGCTCATTCTTTCCCACCAAATCTCTCTATCGTCCGTATCTGGTCTCTCGTTCTTCTTTACTTTGTGTGTTGCTCTCTTTCAACCAACACCTCTCTTCTTTGGCAGCTGTTTGACTTTTTGTGTTGCAAATGCCGTAGAATGTCAAACTCAAAAGTTACCTGGCAGGTCCGTGTAATAAGTTTGTGTGTGGCAGTTACCTTGACACTTTGGATTTTCCGTCACTTTTCCCATGCTTGCTGTCTTTTTGGGTGGAGTTTTTGAGGTGGTTGTTGGGTGCTCCAGTGTGGTTTGGGTATCTTCTTTCTCTTCAGCGTTACTATACACTGTATACACATAGATCTAGTCTTATCTTGTCATGGCAAATTTGACGATGTGGATGGTTGGTGGGTGCTCTGGTGTGGTTTTCTCCTTCTTTCCTATCAAACATCTGTCGTCCTTATCTTCCCTCCTTGTTTATGTTTGTTACTCTCTTGTAACACCTCTAATCTTCTGGCGCTCATATGACCTTATGCAGTTGTGAGTGCCGTAAAACCTCTACTAAAAAATTTGACGATTGTGGTGTTGTGGTTACATGTTTTGCTGCTGCTTGCAGAAGACGGTTGTTAATTTCCTGTGCAAGGCAGTTTTGTGTTATCAAAAACCTGTATTTCTTTTGAGACGTTGTATCCCTCTGAGCCCAGGTTGGCCACGAACAGGCGGGGTTGATGCAGCCTGCCCCTTAAATGATCTGAATTGTGTCGATGGGAAGTGGGTGGTTGGCGGGTGCTCTGGTGTGGTTTGCTTTTTCTTTCCTATGAAACATCTATCGTCCTTATCTCCCCTCCTTCTTTTTTGTTTGTTACTCTCTTGTAACACCTCTAATCTTCTGGCGCTCATATGACCTTATGCAGTTGTCTCCTTTCACCTCCTTTCCTGCTCTCTAACAATGTTCTGTTGTCTGCTTTCGTCTCCTCCTTCTGCCCCCACCCCCTCACCTCCTTTGCCCCTTCCTCTGGGCTCCTGATTCTTTCTGCAGCCTTTCTACTGCTACTCCTTGGCTCCTCCTTACTGCTATCTTTCTGCCACACCCCTGATCTTCTGGTAGGAAAGATCTACACCTAGCCTTCTCGGACAAGGGCGAAAAATCTCGGAGGGCCCGTGTGCAAGTTGCGCACGTTAAAGATCCCTTGGTGGTCTAAAATCGATAAGGGTAGGTTTCGGCCGCCACCCGGGCAAAATTCGAAAATTCCTACCAACTGAAAATATTAGGTGTGTCCCGCGCGCTCATGTGACCTAATGCAGTTGCAAGCGCCGTAAAACACTTTACAAAAACAAAACAAAAAAACACCCAGTTTTCCGTGTGCATTTTGTCTCAAGCTGGCCGAGTTGGAGGGTCTCGCTCACCGGTGTACCGGTGGTTAAGCATACTCAAACGGGCAGTTTCAAGCGTCACCGGTCTACCAGCGACAAGGGCTCAAAGGGTGAAGTGGACGATTTGCGTGTAACACGAAGGCGTACATTTTTACATTTTTGTTGTGATGTTTTTTTCTTTCTCAGTGGTGTTGATTGGCGACTCCGGCGTAGGGAAGAGCAACTTGCTGTCCCGGTTTACCCGCAATGAGTTCAACTTGGAGAGCAAGAGCACTATAGGTGTAGAGTTTGCCACTAGGTGAGTACTTAGAGAGCAAGAGCACTATAGGTGGAGAGTTTGCCACTAGGTGAGTACTTAGAGAGCAAGAGCACTATAGGTGTAGAGTTTGCCACTAGGTGAGTACTTAGAGAGCAAGAGCACTGTAGGTGGAGAGTTTGCCACTAGGTGAGTACTTAGAGAGCAAGAGCACTGTAGGTGTAGAGTTTGCCACTAGGTGAGTACTTAGAGAGCAAGAGCACTGCAGGTGTAGAGTTTGCCACTAGGTGAGTACTTAGAGAGCTAGAGCACTATAGGTGGAGAGTTTGCCACTAGGTGAGTACTTAGAGAGCTAGAGCACTATAGATGGAGAGTTTGCCACTAGGTGAGTACTTAGAGAGCAAGAGCACTGTAGGTGTAGAGTTTGCCACTAGGTGAGTACTTAGAGTAAGTTAGAGAGCAAGAGCACTGTAGGTGTACAGTTTGCCACTAGGTGAGTACTTAGAGTAAGTTAGAGAGCAAGAGCATTATAGGTGTACAGTTTGCCACTAGGTGAGTACTTAGAGAGCAAGAGCACTGTAGGTGTAGAGTTTGCCACTAGGTGAGTACTTAGAGAGCTAGAGCACTATAGGTGTAGAGTTTGCCACTAGGTGAGTACTTAGAGAGCAAGAGCACTGTAGGTGTAGAGTTTGCCACTAGGTGAGTACTTAGAGAGCAAGAGCACTATAGGTGTAGAGTTTGCCACCTAATTAAGTTACTGGAGAGAAACTCTCTCACTACTCTCAGTGTCTTTCTCCATCTATCTCTTTCTCTGTCATAATCTGTTTCTCTTTCTTTTTCTTTCAAAAGTCTTTTTATCTGACTCAATATGTCTCTTTCTCTCTTTCTTTCTCATTCTCTCTGTCTCTCTCTTCTTCTTTCTCTCTGCCCAGTCCTCTATCTTCCCCTTTCTCTCTCTCTCTCTCTCTCCCCAGTCCTCTATCTTCCCCTTTCTCTCTCTCTCTCTCTCTCTCTCTCTCTCTCTCTCTCTCTCTCTCTCTCTCTGTATGTCTCCCTCTCCCTCTCTCTCTCTCCCTCTCTCTCTCTCCCTCTCTCTCTCTGTCTCTCTCTCTCCCTCCCTCCCTCCCTCCCTCCTCTCTCTTTCTCTCTCTCTCTGGATTTCTCTCTCTAAGGCTTTGACTTCTTTGTCTATTCCCCCCCCCCCGACCTTGTTATTTATTAAGACTTCCATAAGGCAAAAATTTGATCTTTTAAGCATTTCTGTGTGTGGTTGGTGGTTTGATCCTTCTTTATTATCAACATCTGTAGTTTTTATCTCCTCCTCCTTTTTTGTTTTTGTTACTCTCTTGCAACACCTCTCATCTTCATCTGGTGGCTGGAGGGCACCGCTCGTAGGTCCTACTTCTTTACTTTCCTTCTGTTTTTTTCTGGGTTTTTTTTGTTGTTGTCTGTCTGTCTTACTTTGCCGCAGCACTAAATGACAATTATTGTGTCGATGTTCTTCCTTTTACTCTAATCTTTAGTTCTTACATCATGGTCTTATTGTGTTGCAAGTTCTGTAAAACTCTTTACTAAAACAAGAAGCGTCTCTGTGCTTTCAGGAGCATACAAGTGAACAACAAGACTATCAAAGCTCAGATCTGGGATACTGCCGGACAGGAAAGATACCGCGCCATCACCAGCGCGTAAGTTTTTGCTCTGTGCACTCAGGTTTTCGTTTACGCTGACAATTATTTGTACTGAAAATGAAAAACTGCATTTTACTGATAAAGCAAAAAATCTGGGAGTGTATTTTGATTCAAAATTGTCAATGGAATATCATATCAATTATGTTTCAGTGCTTCGTCTTCCGCAATTTTGCCGAATTCCGGAAGTGGAAAAACTTCCGTAAAAATTCGTTAAAAATTTTTTTTTTGGGTAAAAAATATGAAATAAAAAATGTCTGTAATCGTAATTACTAATAGTCAACAATGGCCAACCCTTACCGGAAGTGCTCTTTTATTTGAAAGTGTAGACAGTGTCTTGTCTTCTACTTTCACTTTCTAAAGCACAAGCAGAGCACCAGCACTTGTAAACAAGATGAAGACATGACGATTGTAGTTCAACAGATCTTGGGCCTGTAGTTCAATAGATCTTGGGCCTGCCAAGAAAAGAAAACTCTGAAGAGGGCTTGATTTTTTCATCAGAATTGTTTATTTGTACATATTGTTTAGGATTTAAGTTGAATATAAGCTGTCAAGCTATTTAGATGTAGATCTAGATTCTAGCTCTGTTTACACTAGATATACACATTGTGGTGCAAACCAACACATGGAGAAAAAAAGTTGAATATTAACTGTCAAGTTTGATAGATCTAGCTGTTATACTACTGTTGTGGATGTACAGTATCGGTACAAGGGAGAAAGCATGGCTTTGGATTTATATGGATTAGCACAAGCAGAAAATTGTGTAGGCCTATGCAAGGTATGTTTTATTTGTCTCTTATTTTCTTGTTAAATTTAGGCTTGAAAAGCCAGAAATGACATACTTAGGATGCCCTGAAACCAAAAAATCTCAAACGTAATGGGGGCGCCGTATCCCTTCAACCCCCCCTGCCAGGGCGCTGCCCAGGACCCGAAAATCCTAGAAAAATGACATCATCTGCTGGAAAGCTATGATTTATGTACCATTTTATTTTGTGAATTGCGTAGAATTGGTCATATATGTCTATGTTTTTGAATGAACACTCGTTGAAAACGCTCGTGTCATCTTTCTTGTTTTCACGCATCGATTATTGCGAATGCTTTACTAGCTAACTTACCAAATACCACTCTTCACAAGTTACGTTTTCAAAATCATGCTGCTAGGCTTGTACTAAAGAAAAAGAAGAGGGATCACATTATTCCCATGTTAAGAACGTTGCATTGGCTTCCCGTGTCATCTAGAATGTCATATAAAATTGCAATATTATGTCATAAATGTGTCAATAACAAAGCTCCCCCATATCTTACTGATATCATCCAGATTTATGTTCCATCCAGATCACTAAGATCAGGTGATCAGTATCTTTTAAGAGTTCCTAAAAAGGGGGTAAAAAATTAGCTGAAAGATAGTTTGCCCACCTTGCTCCATCAGTTTGGAACTCTCTTCCCCAACCCTTGAGACATACAACATCTGAGTCTAAATTTAAAAAATCCTGTTCATGTCGTACATCTCTCTTCCCCAACCCTTGAGACATACATCTGAGTCCTGTTAATCTACGACATCTATAATTACTGTTTTACATTTATTCATTCATTCATTCATTCATTCATTCATTCCTGTATGTTGTGTGTGTCTCCAGCTACTACCGCGGTGCGGTGGGCGCCCTGCTGGTCTACGACATTTACAATTACTCTTTTATTTTCGTTCATTCATTCATTCATTCATTCATTCATTCATTCATTCCTTCTGTATGTTGTGTTTGTCTCCAGCTACTACCGCGGTGCAGTGGGTGCCCTGCTGGTCTACGACATCGCCAAGCACCTGACGTACGAGAACGTAGAGCGCTGGCTGCGCGAGCTGCGGGACCACGCCGACCAGAACATCGTCATCATGCTGGTGGGCAACAAGAGCGACTTGAGGCACCTGCGTGCCGTGCCCACTGACGAGGCCAAGAACTTCTCGGGTGCGGTTTTATTTCTCTCTCTCTCTGTCTCTCTCTCTCTCCCTCTCTCTCTCCCTCTCTCTCTGTCTCTCTCTGTCTCTGTCTCTCTCCCTCTCTCCCTCTCTCCCTCTCTCTCTCTCTCTCTGTCTCTCTGTCTCTCTCTCTCTCTCTCTCTCTCTATCTCTATCTCTATCTCTGTCTCTGTCTCCCATTGTTGTTTTTATTTCCCAGATGTGTTCTTTCTGTGTTCTTTCCTTGGTTTGGAGAGGGGGGGGGGGGGGAGTGGTTCTTAAAGATGTTCTTTCTGTCTTTGGTGTTTTTTCTCAGGTATGTTCTTTCTCCCTGGTATTTTCTTTTTCTTGTTCTCTGGTGGTTATTATTATTATTATTATTATTATTATTATTATTATTATTATTATTATTATTATTATTATTATTTTGTCTTTCTCTTGGGGTCATTTTCTGAGAAAAGTAAAAAAAAAAAAAAAAAAAAAAAAAAAAAAAAGAATTGTGTGATAGATCTGCATTCTTTCTCCTTATGTTATTTTTTTTGTCATGATCTTTTTTCTCATTATTGTTTTCTGTATCACAGGGTTTTTTTTTTCTTCTCGTGTGGTCTGCTTCTTCTTTCCTATCTAACATCTATCGGCCTTATCTCCCCCTTCTTCTTTTCTAGGTTTGTTACTCTTTGTATCGCCTCTGATATTCTGGCGCTCATATGGCCTTATGCAGTTGCGAGCGCCGTAAAACCTCTACTAAACTAAACTCTCTGTAAGGCCTCTGTCTTTTGGCGCTCATATGACCTTATGCAGTTGCGAGCGCAGTAGAACCTCTACTAAAACTAAACTAAAAGTTTTTTTTTTGGGGGGGGGGGGGTGGTGTGTCAGAGATATTCCTACAACTTATGTTGTTTTATCCTTTCTCGTTGATGTCTTTGATAAATGGAACCATACATTCTGTCGCTTTGCTTGTCCACAGAGAGGAACAACTTATCATTCATAGAAACGTCAGCGTTAGATTCCACCAATGTTGAGGCTGCCTTTCATAATATTCTAACAGGTGAGAGAATGATTGGGTCTTGTGTTCTTCTGAGAATGACATTTAAAAAAATTGTAGAGACCTGAATGGTAGTGGGTGGTTGGCAGGTGCTCTGGTGTGGTTTGCAGATGCTCTGGTGTGGTTTGCAGGTGCTCTGGTGTGGTTTACTCCTTCTCTCCTATCAAACGTCTGTAGTTCTTATCTCTCTTTGGCGCTCATATGACCTTATGCAGTTGCGAGCGCCGTAAAACCTCTACTAAAACTAAAACTTATCTCTCTTCTTTCTTTTCTTTGCATGTCACACCTCTAATCTTTGGCGCTAGTGTGACCTTATTGTGTTGCAAGTGCCATCAAACCCTTACTAAAACTAATACTGAATACACATGTGCAAATCATAAAGAATGTCTTGATGTATAACAAAAAGCATTAGATCTGAAAGTCTGTCTTTCCCTATGCACGTGTTGACTGTATATGTGCGAGACTACAATAATTTTTGTTTGTTTTTGTCTGTGTGTCTGTCTGTCTGTGTTCTAGACTGTATTTTCACTGTTGTCTGTTTGTCTGTCTGATTGGCAGAGATGTACAAGGTGGTGTCACAGAAACATAGACTGTATCTTATATTGTCTGTCTGTCTGTCTGTCTGTCTGTCTGTCTGTCTGTCTGTTCTAGACTGTATTAACGTTGTCCGTCTGTCTGTCTTCGGCGGAGATATACAAGATAGTGTCACAGAAACATAGACTGTATTTACATTGTCTGTCTGTCTGTCTGTCTGTCTGTCTGTCTGTCTGTCTGTCTGTCTGTCTGTCTGTCTGTCTGTCTGTCTGTCTGTCTGTCTGTCTGTCTGTTCTAGACTGTATTTACATTGTCTGTCTGTCTGTCTGTCTTCCACAGAGATCTACAAGATAGTGTCACAGAAACATAGACTGTATTAACATTGTCTGTCTGTCTGTTCTGGACTGTATTTACATTGTCCGTCTGTCTGTCTGTCTTTCACAGAGATCTACAAGATAGTGTCACAGAAACAGATCCGCGACTCCCCGGACGACGACAACTCCCCCAGCTCCAACGTGCAGACCATCACTGTGGCCCCGACCGTCAACTCGGCACAGGCCAAGAAACCCTGCTGTTCTTAATGATGAGGTCCTCCTCCTCCTCGTCTTGCCTGCCTGCAACCCCCCACCCCCCCTCCTCTTCCTCCTCTTCCTCCTCTTCTTTGTCTTCATCTCTGTCTTGTTCTGCTTCTTCGTCTTTCGTCTTCTCCTCTCTCATCTCTTCATCTTTTTCTCAGTCTACCACTTCCTCTTCTCTCTCAGCTTTGTCTTGTTCGTTTTCTTCTTTTCTTTTTTTTCCTCTTCTGCTTCTGCTTCTCCCTCCCTCTCTCTATCCCTCTCGTTCGCTGATACCTTCAGTGGTATGGGAGGAGAGAGAGGAAGAACTTTCCCACTTTCCCTTGAACCAATTTTCCTTTTCTCTGTCACTTTTTCTAACTCTCTCTTTCTTTCTCTATCTCTCCCTCTCTATCTCGCTCGCTCTCTCTCTCTCTCTCTCCTTCCCCTTTCCCCGTCTCTGCCGCGCCTCTACTCTACTCTATATCTTTCTGT